AGTCTTTAAAAAATAAATTGTCTTTCAATATCATATATTAAGTCCCTACATTCAGTATAGGGCTTAACATTACATTATATAGTTAGTAAAATGTTTCAGCGCCAAATCTGTTACAGACTCAATATCAGATTTACCACTTTATCTTGCAGAGCAGGTTAAAGGCCGTTTTATATCTTTGTAAATCATTCCATACAGGTTTCAATGAACCAAACCAAGATTTGTTGTTGAACCAATGACAAAAAATTAGAATTTTATATACTAGATCTAAGGTTCTTGCTTAAAACTGAATATTAAAGGTTTATAGAGGAATAATTCGATAAAATTTGAAATCATAGGAGGTAAAAACCATATCCAAAGATGAGTGGCACTAAGATAATGACTTCTGTTTTCAATTAGCCTTAATAAGGGTCTTCGAGATTTTTTTTCTAAGTATAGACTTATAGAGAAACATGAAAATAATATTCGAAGTACTTCACTCAGATATTAGCTCCAAAGACGAGTTTTGGCTTCTAGCTAAGAAACCGTAAACACATTAATATTCCAAAGAATTTAATAATTTATTTTTATTTTTGACAATGTCTTATGGAAGGAAACTATTAAATTTATTTTTTTCTTATTAAATAAATTTTTATCTTGAATATAAATTGTAATATGACGTCAGTTTAAGACGGAAGTGACTATTATATTTAATAGTATTTTTGATAAAGAATAAAGAATAAATTTGACTAATAAAAGCTGAGTCTGAGTTTCAAATTTGGCAGGGCACGAGGCGGTTTAATGGAAATATTTCCACGACCACTGATGATGGATATTTAACAATATTCGAAACAGCTGTATGGTCAGCTAAAAATTCAATTAAAACTCAATAATATAAAATAATTTTTGTTGTTGTATTTCACTACTTTTCAAAACCTCTTTATAAATTGTTATCTTACAATACAAAATATTAGTTTTCATAATAAAATATGTTGAGGATTTTTTAAAAAAAATTTTATTTTATTAAATTTCTTAATTAAATTAATGAATTATTTATTAAAAGATAAAAATATAATTTTTTAACTTTAATTTTAGTGCACATTTTAGACGATCCTTAACTTCATAAACGAGCTGTCGCTTCACAATTAATACAGAACAATAGAGTTAGTTGGACTTATCTCCGACTAGAAATCAAGAAGACTGCCTACATTTACTCATAATTTAAAATTATTTTATCACTGCAAATTAAATTAATTAATTTCTACGGAAATTCATTACATTTTTTCGAATGAAAGTCTTTGTTTTATTCAGGCTCTTAAGTGTTATAATTCATTCTATCTCAAGTTATGTGGCTTTAATGCCACTAGTATTACTAGCACTTAAGTGATAAAATTATTTAGTCATATATTTATTTATATATATGTTTGTGTTATATATATGCTTATACAGAGCACTTGAGAATGTTTTTTTTTTATTAATTTAAACTCAAGTGGCAGAATTGAGTTCATTGCTATCTTCACATTTTAGCAGTTTTCTACACTGGTACCCCTACTTATAGAATATGTCCCATATATATGTGAGCACATATAGTATCTAAAGCAGATGTATGACTTACTGTGTGTCTTTGAAGGAGTTGACGTCCAGCAGGAATACAGTTTTCAACATGAATGCTTATTAATACTTGAAAATAAAATGCACACCCTCACATTAACACACCCTTCATAATTACTTATTTTACTTGTAATTATTTTTTTTTATTTGAAGGAGAAAAATAAAATGAAAATTTTTTGGCTTCTTTTTTAATTTTCTTTTTGTTTTTAATTTTTGTTTAATAAAGTGTAAAATTGTTTTATGTCCAGACCCCGGACTATATACGAGGGTTATTTGCAAGTTATTGCTGGTTTAGACAAAAATTTTATTTGGAAAAAAGAAGCTTTCCGGAATTTGAAGAAAATTTGTATCCTTTAAATTCCACCTTCTCTTAATTCAAAGAGAGCTTATAATTTTATGTACTTCGAACTGAAAAACAAAACTTATCATGGAATCACATGCATTAAGGTGTTGAATATAGACTCATTATTACTGCATTAAAACAACAAAAATAAAAGTTGCTTTTATGTTATACATCTGAAGTGTGAGCGATAGGATTTCCTTTGAGAGTTTGATAACTCTGGAGATATTTTGTTTAACCCTTGTAAGAGAAGATATTTAGAAGTCAATATACAAATCTATTAATTGTAGATGCATACAAGTCTGTGAAGTTAACTTATTAACCGCTTAGTGCTAATCTGCTTATTCGATAGTTCCATATATAATAACAGGCTGTATCGTAGTGTGATATATCTCATCTTTTACCATATATATATGTGATAATATAAATATAATAAATTATAATATAACTATATAATGATAATGTGTACAAAAATTTGTCCCTTCTGTTTATTAATTAATGACTTATCATACTGCCCTCGTAAGTGAATAGTATTATGGTTGTTTATGTGTAAATATCTAAATACAAATTGATATTATTATATATATATGTTGTAATACTATATACAGCAGTTTCAGATTTTCAACTGCAATAAAAACCTTGAAATGGTGTCTCATCTTTTTTATAAGGGTGTGAACTAACAAAATATATTCAGAATTTTCAAACTGTCAAAGGACATCCTATCATTTACATTTTAGATATGTAAAATAAAGACAACTTCTGTTTTTATCATTTCAATATAGTCATAACGATTCTATATTCAACATGTTAATGCATGTATGTGGTACCCCGATAGGTAACTCAATAAATACTCAACATTCAATATGTCATAGTTGGTTCAATGATGTGTAATGGAAACTATTTGATAGATTGATTACAGCAGCAGGTGATTTTTGCATTCTAGGTCCCTATTAATAGTAATTATTAGTCATTTTAAATCCGTGCTCCTCACAAGAAATCCCGATAAATATGACTAGAACTATTTTGCTTGATTGCTTTGATTAGAATGGTTTGATTAGTTGGTCGTAGCAGCTGGTAAATGCCGGTTCTAACTTCCTATAATTAGTAGTTCTAATCCATTTTAAAACCATGTTTATTGCAAGAAACCCCAATGAATAAAACTAAAGACGTTTTACTTATGTAGTTTAACAGATCTTTTGTCCTAATCGTAGACGAGTCGGAAAAAATAGGAAAATGGAAAGTTTTCTTGTTAAAAATTACTGTTTTGAAAAGGTTTTATAAATTTCTGAAAGACTGTACTGCTTATATTACGGATAAGTATTATCATAAATATTTCTGAAGGTTCTGAAATTGGTTTCAATATATCTCTCGTCTCTAGTATTCATAATTTTTTTAAATATGTATTAACGTATATTTATTTATGTATTATTTTTTTTTTACTTTTATTTTTTTTATTTATTTTTTTTTAATTTTTCTCATTTTTTTTTCATCAACACAGACTTTAGTAAAATGAAATCGAAAGTAATTGCTCACTTCACATGAGAATCACGCAAGCCAAAAAAGTGGCAAATAATATTTCCGGCAAAAATAAAATAAATTTAAAAAAAAAAATAATAATTATAATAAATTGTTAAAAATTAATTCGATTCATGCATTGCACATGCAGTGCAATTTATCTCAAAGCTGCCCATCATGGCCAGTTAAATAAAATTTTTTTTGTTAAATGAATTTTTAAAAATGCTCTAAAATTAAAGCTTTGAAAAAATGCCAAAAATAATAAAAATAAAAAATGCTTATTAGGCAAATTTATAAATAAAATCCTTATATAGTAAATGAAAAACACAACAATTTTGTGTTAAGTTTAACCGCATTTCATAGTGAGACGAACCGGTGATGCAATGGAGCGGCATATCGGATAGCACGAATAATTCCATAAATGCAACACACAATACCTCGTTGAGGTCATTGCTTTTTGAATATGCCGATATATAAAAATATATTCAAAAAACGATATTAATGTCGGAAATGCGCTTCAAAGATATAAATCAATCACCATGAACTACGAGTATAACGAAAATTATTATAAGTTTTAAATATTTATGGGCTTTAAAAGAGAGCACATGAATAGTAATTCGGAATGCAACTAAACAATAATTATTGTCGATTTTAATACCTAAGAATTGGAAAAATTCAAGAGATAATATTTAGAGTATGTATGAATAAAAATCCTAAAATACTTATTCGACTCGACTATAAGTCTATATTGTCGAATTAACTACTTAAAAATTCAAGAGGTAATATTTAGAGTATAGATAAATGAAAATCCTGAAATAAATAATCGACTCTCAATAGTGTTTTGTGAAACTATAGTCCACTATAAGATATACCACCAATCAAAATTTCGTGGAACCAGTGTCTTATTTTACATCTTATAAAATTCAATGGACTATCTCATTGGGCTTCTAAAAAAATAAAACTAACAACATGATTTTTCCAACATCTTGAAAAAACTGTTACGTATTATTTTAATAGAATCCTTCTATAACAGTTATGTGAAATTCACCACCACTTGGTTTCTGAGATTATGGAATTATTGTTAAGTACTACTTTACAACTCGACTAATACTACTACATCACGACTACAACTATATTTCGACCATACATCATCACGATTATAAAGCACCCATACCGACCTAACCCCAATCATATGGAACCATTATTAAGCATTTCTTCACAAGTAAAAATCAACCCATCACTTTTAACAACTGAAAGAGTGGTGAGATCCAAAACGTAAGGTGTGAATGTTCCGAAAGCGGTTTACTTACTTTCTTGGTAGTAATTGTAGGACGGGTAGCACATATTCTAAAGTTTGTATTGACCTAATCACATTACTTTCGTCGCTTTTGTTGTCCCAAAATATTCGCTTTGTATAGGTAGTCAAATTCATTTTATGAGCATTTTATCCTTCCGGAAATATGTATATATATGTATGTATTGAAATAATTAATCAAAGAATATATTTCTATATTTTACATCAAATAAAATAATATCTATTTTTATATATTTTTTTCAGATGCCCGTAGCTACTTCCTTGGATAAAGATGCAATTCGTGAAGCATATGAAGATGTACGTTCTGATCTCACAGACACGGAATGGTAAGTATTATTAATGTTTTTCATAATTAATCATAATAATATATAATATTTATTTTTGTAATTCTCTCATTAATAGGGCCGTCTTTAAGTTTGATGGACCTCGTATATTATGTACGGCACGTGGACAATGCTTTGAAGAGTTCCGTAACCAATTCGGTGACAATGAACGTGCATTCGGTTATATTAGAATACAAATGGGTGATGAAATGTCGAAGAGGAAAAAATTCATCTTTCTAACATGGATCGGTCAAGATGTTGGTGTAATTCAACGTGCTAAAATGTCTACAGATAAGGCACTCATTAAGGATGTATTAAATGTAAGACCAATATATATGTAATACATTTCTTGTTTGGTTTAAAATAGAACTGATACGATCTCACTTTACTCAGATTTTGATGTGATCGTTTATACTGTAACATTATAATCGAATTATATAAACATACTATCCGGGTTGGAAGTTTTTGTACATTCTATAGAATAATCCAACACAAAAAAATTTAAGTTTAAGCAGTTTTATTTAGTTGGAATTTCTATAATATCAGTTATTTTAGTAGGGTTCTTCCACTATGTATTTATTTAATTTTTCCCAAATATTTTATCACTAATCCAAAGTATTTTACGCTTAACAAAATTCTAGCTTATAGA